TAACACCAAGGCCCCGGGTTCGGATCCCATATAGGGATGGCCGGTTCGCTCACTGGCTGAGCGTGGTGCTGACAGTGCGCCACCGGGCCGGCCCCTAAAATTAATTTTTTTGGTAAAGTATTCACAGCTTAAGCAGCACCATTTTTTTAAAAATGTAAATGAATAATTGTGAATGCAGAAGCATATATTATCTGCCCTATTAAACTTGGTGCCCATTAACAGTGTTTACGCTGTTCATTGTGCCTGTTAACATAGTTTTAGTTATTGGAGCTTTTACATTATTATGAGTGTTGGAATTCATTTAAGTTTAATGTAGTCCTAGTGCTCTTGAAATGGTGCCCCTTTTATTTGGTATATGATTTTTTCAAAGCATATCTTCAAGCACTGTACTATCCTCTTCTGGAAGAGAAATTTTATAGTCTAATGGCAAATGTCCTCATTTTACCTTTTTAATTGAAATGTCAAGTTTCCTGTTATACTATGAGAACCAAGAAACGTTGGACATCATTGTGTGTACAGACCTTTTTCACAGGTGAGTGAATGAAATAGAGAATAGAGTGAGTGCTGTCAGTGGTGTTAAATAGAAACTGCCAACTTCTACTGTGCTGTCTTGATCTTTGCAATAAACTAAACTTAGAAAATGTAACTGTAATAAACAACAACAGAAAAACCAAAAATGTCTCCAGACATTACCAAATGTCTTCTGAAGAACAAAATTGCCCCCAGTTAAGAACCACTGAGGGTGGGTGAAAAGCTCTCTCCCTGAGCGTGGTGTAGGATGGCTGCTGTTTTAGTCCTTTTGTGTAGCTATAACAGAAATACCTGAGACTGGGTAATTTATAAGGAAAAGAGGTTTATTTGGCTTATGATTCTGGGACAGCTGCGTCTGGCACGGGCCTCAGGCTGCTTCTACTCATGGCGGAAAGTGGCAGGCAGCTGGCGGGTACAAGCAGATCACATGGTGAGAGGAAGCAAGAGAGAAAAGAGGTGCCGGGGTCTTTTGTAGATAAATTTGGTTTTGTTTTTCAGGTTCACAGCTGGAAGGACTTCTGCTTTTGGTCTCAGATGAGACTTTGGACTTTGGACTTTTAAGTTGGTTCTGGAACAAGCTAAGACTTTTGGGACTGTTGGGATGGAGTGATTGTATTTTGTATGTGAGAGGGACATGAGTTTTGGGAGGCCAGGGGTTTCCACATGAGTTTTGGAGGGGACAACACAGCCAAACTCCATCATTCCGCCCCTGGCCTCCCAAAACTCATGTCTCTCTCACACACAAAATACAATCATGGAATGATGGAGTTTGGATGTGTTGTCCCCTCCAACACTCATGTGGAAATTTGATCTCCAAAGTGGCAGTGTTGGAAACTGATTGAGTCATGGGAGCAGATCCCTCTTGAATGGATTAATGCTCTCCCTGGGGGAGGGGGGATAAATGAGTGAGTTCTCGCTCTATTAGTTCCCACGAGAGCTTGTTGTTTGAAAGACCCCGGCACCTCTTTTCTCTCTTGCTTCCTCTCACCATGTGATCTGCTTGTACCTGCTGGCTCCCTGCCACTTTTCCACCATGAGAAAACAAAGAAATCTGTAACTGGTTAATGATCAAATAATTGTAAACACCACTGCACTCAGACCCGCCACCTCCTTGGGGGATGTGGATAGAAATCCAACGTAATAACTCATTCCACGTGTACAAAAGCATGACCACAGCCACAATGGGTCCATGCGTACATCACTAACAAGAAAGATTAATAATAAAATTAGATTGAACCAACCCAAACCAGGAACATGCATCAAAAACACCTTTAGTACTGACAATGCCCTTTAAATGAAGCAGTTAATTTTGATGTATTTTAACATGTCCCTTGAGAAACTCCAGGGAATTTCCCAAAGCCATACTAAGCCAAAAGGTTAGGCTGTTTAATTCTGGGAAGCCTTGTCAAGCAACCAAAGGTGAACAAACAA